AAGCTATTTTTTCCTCGCTTCAGAGTGGCATAATTCAACATGTTGCAAACAATTACCTGGAGACTGTGGCCCTCCCAGTTTCCAATTTCCAAATGATTTTTATTCAAACTTTAGAAGAGCAGAAAAAAGTTTTTCCAAGATCACTAAAAATAAGAATTTTCTCAAACTAGATTCCTCCAGGTACCAGCATGTGAATCAGCCATAATAATGGCATGCTAAGAAAACGCTATGAATTATTATAAATTTGTAAGTCCTCTACTTGGTGTCCCAAGGAAACAGTTCCTTCCAGTATGCGAAGGGAAATACTCTTTTGACTAATCTGTCCATCAAGTCACAGTATGCACACTGGAGCTCCACAGAAGTAAATGCTCACTACATTAAGTGGTAGGGTTTCTGACATGACATTTTCACCTGAATAGAAGACTTACCTAAGAAATTTTCAGGTTTTATGTTTAAGGTGATTAAAATTAGTCATGAAAAGTAAAGGGGGAGAAAATGAACATAACAGAGTTTAACTAGAGAATTCTTTCTTAAAATAGACAGTTTTTTAAAGTTTTTGAAAACTGTCTTAATCAGTTTTACAGAGAAAACATTACTTCTGACTGGGTTTGATGACAGTAAAATGTTTTATTTCTGATAAATGGGATTCATTAATTTAAAGATATATACATCTTTAGAACCCACCTGCACACATAGCTCACAGCTTCCATGTCTGACATAAGTTGGCCTATGGACTTTGTCCTTGAAAGGCTTGTTGTGACAAGCTTAATTGCTTGTTGGAGATACCTACATCTAAAACTCCCACAGAAATGATGATGTAGCACTGCTGTGTGCTTTTTATTATTCATCAAATTATTAGAGACTTGATATCCTCAGCACAAAAAAAAATTGTGACTATGTATGGGGATGGATGTTGAGTAAACGTGGACGGTAATTATTTCACAATACATACAAATGTTGAGTCATTGTGTCATAGACCTGAAACTAATATGTTATACATCAGCTATTCTTAATAAAATAGTTTTAATAGATATGAAAAAAGACTTGATAAAACTTTAAATTGATGCCTTCAGGGAAGACAAGTCACTTTTTAACAGCATGTTTTAAACATTTCATACAATTATATGTGCACAGAAATTTAAGTATACTCTGCATTTTTAAACATTTTTATAATCACACAAGATTAACTTTGGATGTAAAATAGGCTGTTCTATAACAGCAAAAGGAGAATAAACTTTTATAATGTTGACAGAAGCCCTAATTGTATCCCTGAATTTTTAGGACACTTCTCAAACATGGGAAGATATTTAAGATCATCCTCTGCACTAGTATCCAGACACCCCATAAGTTATTTGCCTCTATTAAGTATTTAACATATCACTCAATCTCATGTTTTTTTTCTGGGTTCATGGTCACATTTGATCTATCACTGCAGCGGCAATACTCTTACTATGTTGAATGTTTTTTCTTAACAGGCTTCTTCATAGCCCCAACTGACCATTCATAGCCTTAGTCAAGCTGAGGAAATTGAAAGGGATGAAATCCTCCATTCCTTTTATGTATCTGGTTTAACTGAAATGATTCAGTATTTACTAGATCTGCTACCCTTTTAAGTATTTCTGTTCTTCATCATCAGGATTTGCTGATTTACACTGTCTTCTGTAGTGTTTCATCTTCCACAAAGATCTTCATAAGGCTCTCGGAGACTTTTTTATCTCCCAGCTGTTTACTTTTGCATTTTGAATTTGCTGATGAAAAGTCCTGCCTACCATGATAAGCGCCAGGACACATTTTGGTGAGAAAAGTAATACAGCTGGGCATCTTGTCTGTCAGGAGAAGTCTTCCATCCTAGGGCTTCTTCTGGAGGTTAGAGTAAGCAATGGCTTTCAGAGGTTTTTTTTCTCTTACCTCTGAGTATCTGGACTACTATTTGGAAGCCTGTGGGCTCTGTCTGGAGACCGTCCGCTATGAAGTACCAGTGCTGATGTTGCAAATGCAAATCTGTAGAGGTTCATGACTCCCCAGACCACAGGAGTCTCTTGACCAATGTCGGGATTAACTACTGTTCTCCAAGAATGAGCAGTTTAAAACCACTGGGCTCAGTAGAGCAGAAACCCTCAGCGCGGCTGTGACCACAATGGTACCGGACACATATAAACACTGCAGCTGCCACAGTGGCAGCCCCTTGAATACCCTGAGAGAATTTAGTAAGCTGGGCAGAAAGACCACATTTATATATTGTTTAAAGCCCATCCTTTCTCTCCATAGCTAGTTTTCTCCAGTTTATTATCCATGAACTCTCCTTTACAGAGCAGAACAAGGCTAAGACCTCTGGAAGCTGATTAGTTCGCTGGTGGGTTTGAGCCCAGCTTTTAGAGCTTGATGAGAACTGACTAGATACTTCACATCAGCCCTGCTTATGGTAATTACAGGATCTGTGGATCACAAAACCCACAATTTGTATCCACAAAAAATTTCCACAAGAAAACTGGCTAATAGTGATTTGGCTCTGCCTACCATTTGTTGAATTTATATCTTGTACCAACAAATTCATTTTTTGAGAAGTCATTGCATGAAAAACTTTCACTATTCCAATTAGTATCATTGTTGTGGCCAGCTTTTGGGGTGAAAGTAGCTGACTGAAAATGTATTTTTTAATTACACTATTGTGTACATTGGGCAAGCTTTTTATTCACTATGATGTTAATTCTGCCCAGGATACATTGCCAATATTTTCTCCCAGTGAAACCTTCATATTTTAACTTTGTCCTAAGTCTTTTGCCATAAAGAAGTTTCTAATTTTTATATAATGAAATCTGTTTTTTTCTTTGAGACTTGAGTTCCTGACCTATTTAGAAAGGCCCCTCTCATGCCAAGATTTTTCTTTTAAATCCTCCTATAGTTTTTTAGGACTTAAAACTTTTTAAATCTTTGTTCCTTTTGTAGTTTATCTGTGAAGGGGCATAATATGTTTCTCAAGTCTTTAGTTTGCCGTGATTTTGATGCATTTCCAAAGTTTCCTAGGTGAGCACTCTCTTTAAAATGAAGATAACTGACTTTTGTTTCTGTAAAAACCTGACCCTTTGAAAAAAAAAAAGTTTACAAAGTATGCTTTTAAGAAAGTTGAATAACTGCATGCACAGTTTCTCAATTCATCCACAGTCTCTAATAAATCCTAAGCAACTAAGTATTCTGCCCCAGCAAACAATCTGATCCTTAAAGTCCTCTCCAATCTACTGCTCAGTGAAAACAGCAAACAAAAAGCCTCAGTGTTAGCAGAAAATGGAGTTCTTCAAAGCAGGTAAAAGTTCTGTTCACTACTTACAGAAAGCAGAGAAAGGGTTTTCCGATTACAAACGATAGAGTTGCCCTTGCGTAGCAATAACAGCTCGTAATAAGATTTTACTTCTTAATGACCTAGATTACGAAGACAGTGGAACAACAGGACTGAAAATAAACAGAAAAGGAGAGCTTTAGCTTTGACGCAAGGAATCACATCAGCCCGTGACACAACCGAAGATTAATTTTTTAAAACGCTTCCTTTTTAGCAGTGACTAACCTTTCATTATCTGTGACAACACACTAAGTGAGCAGTAGTACAAAGGATGCATGTGATTTCGAAATCCCACAACTGAGCCAACGGCGGCGGCCCGCGTATGTAGTGTGGAGGCGGGATCAGGAAAGATAATCCGAGCAAAGAAGGGCCTGTGCGCATCCCAGGACAGTCTCCGGTCTTCCATAGGATTAAGTTCGCGAAGACACGTCTCTCCCCGCTGGAAAGTGCCCCCAGCGACAAGCGTTCACCTGGTCCGAGCATAAGGCCGTGACATTCAAGGTGTTGAGTCATGGGGCACAGAGGTCGTGCGACATTAATGTTATTTGATGACAGAGATCGTAGGGGCGCAGGTGCCAAGGTAAACCCTGGCAAAGGCGACTGCGGTTTGACTTAAGGCGGAAGAGAACAGGGTCGGGGCTGAGACCCGGTTCCTGCGCTGAAGGGATTGCGTTTTAAGTTTGGGGCAAACTTCAAGTCTCCCACGTGACATGCGTGCCCTCCTCCGCGTGAGTCCCTCCAGTCGGGAGACCGGAACCCTCGCCCGCTCTCATCCCGGCCCACCTCAGGCGTCGTCCTCCCGCGGGCCCCGCTCGGCCCGGCCCTCCCCTGCCCGGGAGACGCTCCCACTCCCGCGCTTCTCCATTCATCAACCGGTTCACACCGGCGGCCGCCGCCGCGCCGTGACGTCCGCGGGGGGCGGGCCTTCGCCCCCGCTCGGCGGCGTCCGCCTCAGGCCCGGCCGCGATTGGCGGCTGGGGGTTTGCACGTCGCGCCGGCTATAAAGAGGAGGGCTTGTGACGCAAGAGCGCCTCGGCGCGCGCATTGGCTCCGTCGACTGCGGGCCGGCTCGGCGACGCGCTCTCCTCGGAGCCGCTCACTGCATGGTAGAGTCTGGTGCCCCCGCCGCCGCCTGTACAGCCGCCGCCGCCCCGCGACGACCACCGCTGCCCCCTGCCCTGCAGCCGCCGCCGCCACCGCCTGTGTCGCCGCCGCCTCGGGACCGACTGTATGATTAGGCCACAATCTTCAATGAGTAAACATATTCCTGTGAGTATCCGTCGCTCCGCCGCCTCTCGAGCCGGGTTTCCGCGACCGCCCCCCCATCTCCAGCGGCGCCTTTGTTCGGAACCCGGCGTCCTCTCCCCGGCGCCCCGGGCGGGCCACGGCCCTGGGGCTGCGGTGCGGCGGGCGGCCGCCAGAGGCACCGGCTTCCTAGTGCCTGCGGAGGTGGGGGCGGTGCGGGCGGGCGGAGGCGCCTCGGCCGCCGCAGCGGGCCGGGAGGGGCGGCACAAAAGCCGCTTTGTGACCGCCGCCTCCGCCCTCGGCCCTCCGGCCGGCGCGCCTACGGGCCCCGCGGCGTCCCAGGCCCCTTTGTTCGGCCGAACGCGCGCGGCCCGCCCGGGGAGCTGGAGACGTGGCCCGGGGTGGGGCGAGGGCTGCGCGTGTCACTGCGGCGCCGGATGCGGAGCGGGCGCGGCGGCGGCGGTGTGCCGGCAGGCCCGGCGGGGCTGGTAACGGTCTCCCGGGAGGCGGCCGCGCGGAACAGGAGCCTGGGGCGTCCACTCCCCTTCTCCGGGGTCGGGGCCCGCGCCTCCAACAAAATGGCCTCGGCATCCGCTCCTGACCGAAGGTGCGGCGCGAACCCGTGATTGCGGCGCGGACAAGGGGCGCCGCAGGCGGGTCCCGGAGCCGCGGGCGCCGAGCGGCGGCCGACGCGGGGCTCGGCTGGGTGCGGAGACCGACTCCCTGCCCCGCCCTGCTCCCTAGGCTCCACCTGGTAATTCGAGCTGTTCCAGATTGAACGCCCCACTTCGGGCTCTGGATAATGAGAACAAGTCTAGTCTTGTCCTGTCTCTGGGACAAGTCGGTGGAGAAATGGCCCGGGTCTGAGCGCCTTGGAAACCGCCAGGGCTCCTGTTGTCCTGCAGCTGAGGAGTCCCCAGCCGGGCGCCAGCAGGCATTTCCCCTGCCAGTCTTGGAATGACTCTGGGTGGCGCCTTTGAATCGGGGGCTATTCGGAACTCCTGAAATCCTTGGTGTGATGTGGTGTTGCCTTGTGGTGGCTTGCAGCAACAGTAGCCAACCAGAGCCAGGATTCCGAGGTTTACCTTTTGCCCGTGGAAGCCTCTAGTGTTCGAGGATTGAGTTGTTCTTTGCACTGTTGATCTACTTGGGATCCAGATTCGGAGGCAGTGCTTCCTGTTACTTTTTGCATGAGTTTTGTTTGGTGGCAGTAAATCAAAAAATACAAAAGCTACATCATTTCCCAAAGGAAGCAGCAATTTACACGTGCTGTACACTAGATGGATTCCCTAAGATGTAGGTAGATGCGGAACAAGCACTCCCAACAAGCCGTTTGACAAAGCAGCTATGCAGATGTTGCCTTGACGCTGAGTCTGACAAACCGATTTAAGTTAATGCACCGAAATTGCTTTTCCCCCATGTATACATTATTGTGATTATCTGCACCTGAGCATTTGGGGGGGGGCGAATTCCTTGGTCTTTCCAAATTGGCTTTCGGTGGGTAGTTTTTTCTGTGACAAAGAAATTGGGAATGGGGGGATGTCTTGGACTAACCAGATGATGTTAGGTTAGGGATTACTGCTGCTCTGGTAGAAGTCTCCCCCAGCCACTGGGTGGCTCCACTCAGCAAAGATAACCAGTTCACTAAATGAATTATTTCTATATTGCTTTCTCTCCTTCCTGATGAAACTGCTTACATGAAGGGATATGGACAGATTCGGCTGCCACAGAAATTTTAGCTGTTAAATATGGAAGTAGTGGTGTGAAATACTCTCATGAGTGGGCTTTTAGTTGAAAAAAAATAGTACTGTACTTGGAAGTCAGAATACTGAGATACGTGTCACTGTCCTTAACAGCTTTACAGATGACTTTCATTGTATATCATCGGGAAAGTGCCAGGATACACTTTTTATTCTAGGGAAGTAAGGGAGTAACATACAGAATTTGAGGTGAAAGTATAGTCCACTATGATAATTTCTGGAAATTATTTCCACATTAGTCTGTGTTGCTGTAATAGAGTGAAGTCTTCAATGATGATGTACCTAACTCATTTTTTAACCCAGCTATGAAGTAGATGAACTAGCAACCTCTGAGGGCTCATATGAACAAATTTGGAATAATCGAAAATCACCTCCCTTTTAGGACAACCTTTTAAGAAATGGCTATTGAGGCCAGTACCTTTGTTTTGACAGATGAAATGAACTTGGTTTTTGACTTGATGTTTTCTGTGATCTGCTTAGATCTCCATATGTATGAATGATTTCTAGAGTAATTACAGAAATGGTAGCTTGTGTGGGACTCTATTTAAAGATGTGAAATGTAAATAGGAGCACATAGTTTGAGTTTAATTTTAAACTTTTTTAAATGCTTAAATTTAAGCAAAGAGAACTGATGGAACATTTTGTTAACATTTGTTATTTAATTTGGTAGTTCACCCTTGAGCATATTAATACCATACATACAAAGTGTCTGGGGCAGTGGCTGGCACTTGGTGCTCTTGGCAATCTGCTATTACTATTTCTCAGTTCTCCCTTTACTCCCAAGTATGTCCTTATACACTGCTTGGAAGAAGCCAGACATTAACATCTATACTTTTTCTGTACATATTCTGAAAATAACACTATGAATATTCACTTAATGTTTGATACTGGCATAAAACTGATTCTGTTCCTTAAGGGCAATTTGGGTCAAAGATTGATTGATTGATTGATTGATTGATTGATACCGGCTAGATAAGTGAATTTGGTTTTTGGAATGAAGTATTATCATAGAGTATAAAATTATGAATATCTTATACTTACAAATGGGAACTTTTTGAATTTATAAACATGACATCTGTATAATACTTCACACAGTAAATTAAGATTCAGATGAGGAAAATCTGTTAAAAGGGAATGATAAATTAGTAAGTTGAGAATCAAATGAGGTACAGTTTCTATGGCAGCATTTTGAAAACCACTTTTTTTCCTCTTAAGAATATATTGGTTAAATCTTTGGAAGAGGAAGTAAATTCTGCAAGGACTAATAGCTTGTTTTCATGAAGTATGTAAAAATATTTTATCAGTTAGAAAAAAACTGTTAAAAGGAATAATAGAAGAATATGTATAAGGGATATTCACCAAATGTAACAGTGCAATTCCTTGTGGGGCCTTTTTAGTAGATGAGTAATTTCAATTTAATCTTGGATTTTGTTTTATTGATGTAATTTTGCTCACTCTTGAAAAGTTGAAAAGGTGACTCGGACCCCAAATTTGAAAAGATTGTTGGTACTTATGTAAAGCATAACGTGTTCCTTTTGAATAGGAAAACAACTTTTTTTCTCTCTCTCTCTTTTTCTTCTTAACAGCAGTTCTGTGGTGTTCTTGGTCACACATTTATGGAGTTTCTGAAGGGCAGTGGAGATTACTGCCAGGCACAGCACGACCTCTATGCAGACAAGTGAACTGTAGAAATTCATTACTACTCCACCGAGAAGCCCCTGTAAGAGTGGTTAACCTGGACACAGAAGTGTTGAATTGAAATCCACAGAGCATTTTACAAGAGTTCTGACCTGGATGGGGTAAACCTCAGTGCACTTCCTTTCTATTGCCTCAGTATTACTGGATTGAAGAATTGCTGCTTCTTGTTAGGAGGTTCATTTCATTTCCCATTTCTCCCAACTTCATACTCAAAGCACTGAGCATTTCAAGTGGAGTATACTGAAGTAGACTCAGTTTCTTTGCATCATTTCTGTATTCAATTTTTAAATTGTTTTATAACCCTATTGAGTTTTTTTTAAACTAAATTGACATGGCTCGAATGAACCGCCCAGCTCCTGTGGAAGTCACATACAAGAATATGAGATTTCTTATTACACACAACCCAACCAATGCGACCTTAAACAAATTCATAGAGGTAGGTTTGCTGCTTCTTAATGTCTTTAATTAATTGTAGTTTAAATACGGGGCTTTTATCAACCTAATATTTTGGAAAATTTGAGATGGTATATCTGCAGTTTCAATTCCCAGAAATGAAATAACCAGTATCTTCTTTAGGTTAGAAGTAAATTATTTTATACATTTCAAGGACATGTACTTGGTTAATTTGAATTTATAAGATCTAGTCCATTTATCGAAGTTTGTTTAAATTTATATGTGGACAAGTGTAACAGCATAGCTCTCACTTGTAAGGAGAAAGGCTGCCACATAGGAATTGTTCATATATCTGCTTAGCATAATCACTAATACCATAAACCAAGCTTAGTTTCTGTCTTAAACCCCATATGAACCTTAGAACCCAATTTTCAACTATTAATTCTACTTGTTAGTTGCTAGATATCCGAAACTGTTGTCACTGCCTTCCTCTTTTGAATAAAAGGAATATAATCCTAAATAATTTATTTGGATGCCTGCACATTTTATTTTATAAATATCTATAGATGCTCAGAAACAATAAAAAGCCCTCCCAGATCATAAGAATATACTTTTATTTTTGATTACCATTTATGTATTTTTTTGAATGCTATTAGTTATTTGTCATAATACAATATGGGACATAAAGCCTGTAGTGTTAAGTGGGGTAGAGTTTTTTAAACACTGTATTTTGGGGTATTTTAGAATCCTTGAGTCTACTTTTAGGGCTCTAAATTACTCATTGTGTACTGCGAATGAACAGAAGTTGAAGGAGTTAATAATTATAATTGAGTCAAGTTTACTTGACTCAAGATTACTTAGAGTCAGGAGTGATTCATTTGGTTCTATTTACCTTTATCTCTGAATTTCTTCTAATCTTCTTTGTTAGTGCTCCATCTCTATCTAGCCAATATAGCTACGACTATAAGCAACTCTAGTATATGACAGGCCACAGATTTTTTTTTTAAACTACTTAACTAGAAATGTATGTGATACTTAACATTCCGTCTTCCTTTTGTGCCATTGTAATATTATTTAGAACAAGAGTACCCTTGTCTGTTAAACATACAGGTTATATTATTCATTCCATGATTTTTTGTTAGCAATATCTAGCAGAGATATCAGAATGACAAATGGCAAACCGTTGTGATGTGGTTAATAAAGACCACACTAAATGTTTCTTTATGTATGTTTTATCCAGGAACTCAAGAAGTATGGAGTTACTACAATAGTAAGAGTATGTGAAGCAACTTACGACACTACTCTTGTGGAGAAAGAAGGCATACATGTTCTTGTAAGTATTTAATAGTCCTACATATTTGACAGTGTGCTACAAACATTTATTCAGATAAACCACCTATTTCCAAAGGCTTAATCATTAAAGTTGTGACAAAATTATCCAATATCTTAATTTCCAAATAAGGGTGAAAGCTAAGCAGAGGTTTGAAAGTAGTAAAGGAGCTTTATATATAAAGATTCAGCATTTATTTGCATTTCATTGACAGTGGGGTTTCATAAAACATTTATGCATGTTAAAATGCTGTTGAAAACATTTAGGTGTTAGAAATTTAGAATTATTTGTACAGTATTTATAGTTAAAATCTAAAATATTTACATACTCTTGATTTAGGATTGGCCATTTGATGATGGTGCACCACCATCCAACCAGATAGTTGATGACTGGTTAAGTCTTGTGAAAATTAAGTTTCGTGAGGAACCTGGTTCTTGCATTGCTGTTCATTGTGTTGCAGGCCTCGGAAGGTAAGGTAATTTCTTAAGTCCATTTAATGATATTAGTCTTAATTTTAGAAAAATGTGATTTTGACTCCAGCAAAGACTCAGTTATCACTTTGTAAGTCTGTTTACTTTGTTAAGTTACTTGCTAAACTAAATTAGAAATTAAACAGAACAATGTATTCCATACAGCTGGAACTAACAAATAATAAAGCTGTAATTTACACTTGTCTGTGGGCAAAATTACTTAAAGAATTAATCGTGTATCCTAGATTATGTCAGTGGTCTTGGAATCATTGTCCAAACTCATGGGAAGAAAATGATGAATTGTCAATGAGGTCGTTTGCATTACATAGTGTTCTTGATCTGGAGATTCTGACTCAGTAGCAACTTGGTACTCAATGATGCCAAAATACTGCATGTCCAGATTTGTAAACCACCACCTTCCACCCCCACCACCAAATAGAGTTGTCCTGTTCTAGTGGCGAAGAGTAAAATGAGCAGCCCTGGAGTAGTGCAACTGTGTCATAATCTCACTGATAATAAAAGAAGGCAAAATTTTCCAGAGGATCTTCAGGAAAGGGGTTCATGACATTTCAGAACAAATCTTTTTTTGAAGTGGAAAGTATTTATTACTGCTTAGAATTCAGGAAAAAATTGTCTGAATTTATCAAGATTTACCCTCTCCCTTAAGTTTTTCGTGGTTGCCCTCTAATAATAAAAGATTCAGCTTTTAGATTATTAGACTTATTTGTAATAGTTAAGGGCATAGTTCATTTTTCGTTTTGGATAAAAACCTGGGTTTGATATGCAAATATTGATACTTTATTATTTTAACATTCTTAACATCAACATTTACTATACATATTACACAGAAAGTGTGAATAATAGTACTTGTGGATTGGGGGGTGGAGTATTGAATTTTCTAGGATTTGATTTTGAAAAAAATGATTACCGAAATTCTTGCCTTACTAGAGCTCCAGTGCTTGTTGCCCTGGCATTAATTGAAGGTGGGATGAAATACGAAGATGCAGTACAGTTCATAAGACAGTAAGTATTTAATTTTCTTTTCCTTTGCATCATTTTTCATTTCCTTGTGTCAGTTTAATTATGTTACTATGAAAACAACTTTTTCCCAACAGCCCATGTGACCATTTTGTTCATTTTAAGATAGCATTAAAACCAGGAAATAAAGATCTGATCTCCTTTTTTACATTCCATGTATGTGCTCATACTACAAGGTTCTAATGCAGTAATACTTTGAACTATCATTTTACTTGAAGTTCTTGATTGAACATGTTTCTTTTGTTTATTTTTACTGAGGTATATATTATAGTTAATATACAGTAAAAATGCATAGGTCTCAAAGGTAAGGTGGTTGAGGTTAACCAAATGAAATAACCACGCAATAGATAGATGGAATATTCAGGTCACTCCAAAAAGTGCTCTTTATACTTTTTATTGTCATCTTTGCTGCCACCAGAGATAACATTTATCTAACTTCTATTACCATAAATTAGTTTTGTCTTCTCTTGGCCCTCATATAAACAGAATCATAAATTTGGACTATTGTAACTGCCATGCAAAAGATTTACAAGGTTAACTTTTTTACTACCCTTTTTCCATTTACACATGTATGCCTGTTCATTAAGTCACTGTAATAATCAAAAGGTACACTGCCACAAGAGGTAGTAACTGCCCATGGCATAATAAATGTTAATATAGAGGGATTTTGCTTTTAATTACTTCATCTTTTGTTCTTACCTTCCAGAAAGCGGCGTGGAGCTTTTAACAGCAAGCAACTTCTGTATCTAGAAAAATATCGTCCTAAAATGCGGCTGCGCTTCAAAGACTCCAATGGTCATAGAAACAACTGTTGCATTCAGTAAAACTGGGGTGCTTGCTATCATTGCCTTGGATGTGGAACTTGAGAAAGGAACTTGTCATACATATTAGCCAACATGTTGGCTTGGTGAATAAGTCTAATGAAGCTTGCATAGGAATCTTGAAAAGAGTTTTACCAGGCCACAAGCTTGACAATTGCAACCTCTGTGGGTTACAGTCAGCCTATTTGGACATTTAGCAAAACATTCTTGCTGTTCAGCATTTAAGATGTGCTTAGCATTTATACCACTTGACCTTTCCTGAAATCATGCAGCATTGAGTTATGTCTTTAAATTTATTCCCATGCCAGAATCCTGTCAATATAAGAAATTTAGAAAGATTAGGTGCCAAAATACCCAGCACAATACTTGTATATTTTTAGTATCATACAGAACTAAAATCCCAGGAACTATGAACACTCTGGACCTTATGTGGTTTATTCCTTAAGTCATTTCAAACATAGAAAATAGGGTCTATATGGTTATTTGCCTGCTCACTTTATGTTTACATCTCCCACATTTGTACCAATGTTCATCAGGTTTGCTCAACTTTTTTTTTTAAACCAAGTCTTACAGTGATTGTCTTTCTCCAAATATTTTGTGCTGTTATGGAAAACCTCCATTTTGAGAATCTACATCATACAGAAGCACATGTCTTTAATGTCTCCAGACAAAAAAAGCCTTACAGTTAATTTTAGTGTTTGCACTTTGGGGTGCAACTTACAGGGAGGGCCTGAAAAAAGGATGGGAGGAGGCTATTAAGTATTTTTAGTAAAATGTTGCCTTTGTCTTGTGCAGATTATGTAGAATATGCTCTTTAATTTAGTGAATATTTTTTTAAAAGGTAGAGATGCTTTGTTATTGTAGCTAAAACAATTCTTAATCATAAAATTTCCAAAATCTTGTAGTTTTTTTTCATACTTATCTAAAGTTGTTTACCAACTTACTTTTGTTTGAAGTGTGATCTTTTCCCCTTCTCTTCCCAACCTCTCTTGCAAAAAAGAAAAAAAAAGGAGTGGGTTTCTGCTAATGAATTGAGCAGACATCTAATATTTTATATGCCTTTTGAGCTGTGTAACTTAATATTTGGATACTTGATAATTTGTTTTATTATGTAATTGATAAAATGGTGATGTGTATTAATGTTAGTTCAACCATATATTTATACTGTCTGGGAATGTGTGGTTATAGTTCTGTGGGAGAAATAATTTGTCGGTGTTCACCAGCTTGTAAAAATCTAGTGCGAAAGCTTAAACATCTAAATAAATAATGAAGTGCATTTATCATTGAAATTGTTTTACTTAAAGTAAACTTATTTTGTAGAAAACAGTATGAATGAATTATACTTAGTGCCATTTGAAGTGTCTTCATTTATTTAACAAAGGATTAAATGAAGTTAGCATTTTAGTAAGCTTATAGACAGAATTGCTTAGGGTCATGAGAACTGCTTAATATTAAAAGAACTTTCCATTTTAAGTTTCCTTTTTAAAGATACAGATAATTTTGAACCAACGTACTATCCTGAGAAGAAATAATATAGGAGAGGAAAAGCTTGATTTGATTTGAAGCTGAGTTGCACCGAATAATAACTGGTTTGGGGCAGTTTAACTTGTGAGGCCCAGTTTTCTCATTTGCAAATTTAAATAATTACATACCTTTATACATTTTGAAAATAATGTGAACCTATGTATTTGGCACATGAGGGCTTCATAAACGTTAAGTGTCTCAATGATCTGAAATACTCCTCTGCAACCTTCATTCATTATCATCTCCTAATTTCTAATGCCCCTTTTCCGAGGATAGTGCTCTGTTCCCACACCGTCACACAGCTCCATGCCTAGAAGTACCCAGCCTAGGTGCGCACCAGTTTAGCCTCAGAATGTCAGTCTCTGGGTTCTAAGATGCCATTCTGCTCATCTGACAAATGTCTATTGGTTTCCAGGCATTAAGAGTGGCAGAGAACATAAAAGATGGTTTTACCAGATTTTGGTCACCAATGAGTACCCCAGCCCTTTTCCTATGAGAATGCTTTCTACTGGAGTTTAACGCAGTGCAATTTTCAAAGAAAAGTGTAGGTTTCTTTGCATGTGCACTCGGTCAAGGCCGAGTTGACTGCAACTCTTGTAGTCGAGTTTTTAAAGTATAAGTTTAAAAAAATACACATGTATATGTACATACATATGCAATATGTGTATATACACACACCCATCCTTACATTTAAATTGAATATGAAAGTGATTTAAAAGTGTCTGACACAATTTCTGCATGTTTGGGGTACCTAACCTAAGCAGAATCTCAGAAGGAAAGCAAAGGCTTCAATTAAGCCATGTTAAATTATGAATGGAAAAATTAACAGTAATTCTATAGTTTGACAAAAATTGACCCTTAACACAGGTTTGAGCAGTGCAGGTTTCTCAATATATTGGGAAATTTCTTGGAGATTTGTGCAATTTGAAGATCAGCTCACTCTATTCTAAGAGTATATAATGCATGCACAAATTGTGTTGATTGTTTATCATTAAGGCTTCCAGTCAACAGTAGGCTATTAGTATAAGTTTTTGGGGAGTCAAAAGATAAGTGGATTTTAAACTTCACAGGCAGTTGTCACTCCTAACCCTGTCAACTGTATACTGCCAGACAAGCCAGTCAATACAGCTATTATGATAGCTACCATTAAGAATTTTACTACCCTTATTATTAAGGAAACTGCCCCAGTTTTATAAGGGATTTGAGCCTCCAGTTAGGTGAGTAGCTGATGAGTGGCAAAATGCAGGGATTCAGACATATGTGACTACAGTACACCAAAAACTGACTATACATGCCTGACCAGTTTTTAAACAGTTTCCAAAGCTTTTAGGTGAGTTCTTGAACTTCTGCCTGGGGTAGTCTTAAAATGTGCTTCATAAATACTGTGTGATTTTGTAAATTATGTTTAGATTGAACCCTTTTCTATTTTTGCAGAAAAACCTTTTTAAATTAAATCAGGATAGGCTAAGGTATACTGCAGAAATAACCAACCCTGAAACTTAAGATTTATTTCTCACTTAAGTTCGGTATTCTAACAGAGACCCAAGGTGAAGGAACATCAACTCTGTAGGACACTGCTAGTTGTGACAAAAGGCAAGTAGGGTTTTGAAGTGTTTCAGATGCCTAAGTTGATGACCAAGAAAACACTTAAGTTCGACTCACTGGGCAGAACTGTTTACACCGCCACTTCACAGGAAATGCTACCATGCACATCATGTATTTTTTTGAAGCCAGACATATATTGTGAAGCATTAATCACTACCACACCAGTTTATTATAAAGTGGATTTATTTTTAAAGAGTTATCTGCAGCAACATCCTGCATAACTGAAATATCAAGCATAAGGGAATAAAGTTTCCATGCAACCAAAATAGACGTCACAAAGTTTAGGCTATGAATTGTGTTCTTATGAGGGAATCATAGGTGCTTATTTAAGCTTATTTAACCTTACTTTAGACACAATTTTAGCAGCTTTGGTACTTGAGTTTCCTGACAGACTAGAGTGATAAGTAAGATGCAGAGCACGTGGGTAAGGTATACTTGTCAATCTGATATTAAAAAACTTGGATTATAAAAAACTAAACAATTCAAAAAGCACAGCCATTTGGGACACGGCAGTGCTGTGACTAACAGCCTTAGGCTTACATGCCTCAGTGGACCTTTAGGCCATCATGTTTCACACAGAACACAGAACGATTGTAGATATTTATAATGGTTACCTTTAGTCATCAAGACTATAAACCATTAAATTTGGCTTTGTATATTTTAAGGTAAGGAATTTTATAATCCAATGTACTCCAGGGATGTTCTTAGATATATTAGAAAAATGGTGCCATAATTAAATAACTTGGCAAAAACTGGGCTTAATTTAGATATTATTTACTGCTTTATTATTTAGAGCCTTTAATACACTAATGTGAATTTTCAGTTTTTCCAAGAGGGCAATATAATATTTAACCATTGTATAAATCAGTGTCCCAGAAGGAAATAGAGGGTACACTCCTAGTGGGGAATAGAGAAATATTTAATAGAGGAAAACCAACAAGAGAGGATGCAGAATTGTCAATGTCTCCAGTCCTGAAGAAACAAGGGAGGCGGAGCAGGTAAGGAAACGAGGGAACAGCTAAACGGAAAGGACGGCCACAGAACCTGTGACCCTCCGAGGAAAACGGGGCAAAGGAACCTCTATTCTGTACAGATCAGCCCTTTGGACACAGAGAGGAAGGGAGAATAGTAAAGAGTGGAAAACAAAATATCCTGCACAACTGGAACACTTTTCTCACAAATGACTATTGGGCAATAGAAGAATCGACACTAATGAGAAACAGCTCGTTCAGTTTCAGTTTAGTGAATCAGGGTTGACGGGGAGGGGAGTAAAGTTCAGGTTCTCCAACAAATTAGCGAGATAAACAACAGCATGCATTTCAGTGATTACTTACACACTTTGATCACAAAGTTGGTCATTTTTGCCAAAATATTTCAGAGCTTTTAATTTTTCCAAAGGCTTTATCAGTTATTATTTAGATAATTTTGTCTTGAAGCATCTAGTATGGCATCACCCATCCTTACATTTAAATTGAATATGAAAGTGATTTAAAAGTGTCTGACACAATTTCTGCATGTTTGGGGTACCTAACCTAAGCAGAATCTCAGAAGGAAAGCAAAGGCTTCAATTAAGCCATGTTAAATTATGAATGGAAAAATTAACAGTAATTCTATAGTTTGACAAAAATTGACCCTTAACACAGGTTTGAGCAGTGCAGGTTTCTCAATATATTGGGAAATTTCTTGGAGATTTGTGCAATTTGAAGATCAGCTCACTCTATTCTAAGAGTATATAATGCATGCACAAATTGTGTTGATTGTTTATCATTAAGGCTTCCAGTCAACAGTAGGCTATTAGTATAAGTTTTTGGGGAGTCAAAAGATAAGTGGATTTTAAACTTCACAGGCAGTTGTCACTCCTAACCCTGTCAACTGTATACTGCCAGACAAGCCAGTCAATACAGCTATTATGATAGCTACCATTAAGAATTTTACTACCCTTATTATTAAGGAAACTGCCCCAGTTTTATAAGGGATTTGAGCCTCCAGTTAGGTGAGTAGCTGATGAGTGGCAAAATGCAGGGATTCAGACATATGTGACTACAGTACACCAAAAACTGACTATACATGCCTGACCAGTTTTTAAACAGTTTCCAAAGCTTTTAGGTGAGTTCTTGAACTTCTGCCTGGGGTAGTCTTAAAATGTGCTTCATAAATACTGTGTGATTTTGTAAATTATGTTTAGATTGAACCCTTTTCTATTTTTGCAGAAAAACCTTTTTAAATTAAATCAGGATAGGCTAAGGTATACTGCAGAAATAACCAACCCTGAAACTTAAGATTTATTTCTCACTTAAGTTCGGTATTCTAACAGAGACCCAAGGTGAAGGAACATCAACTCTGTAGGACACTGCTAGTTGTGACAAAAGGCAAGTAGGGTTTTGAAGTGTTTCAGATGCCTAAGTTGATGACCAAGAAAACACTTAAGTTCGACTCACTGGGCAGAACTGTTTACACCGCCACTTCACAGGAAATGCTACCATGCACATCATGTATTTTTTTGAAGCCAGACATATATTGTGAAGCATTAATCACTACCACACCAGTTTATTATAAAGTGGATTTATTTTTAAAGAGTTATCTGCAGCAACATCCTGCATAACTGAAATATCAAGCATAAGGGAATAAAGTTTCCATGCAACCAAAATAGACGTCACAAAGTTTAGGCTATGAATTGTGTTCTTATGAGGGAATCATAGGTGCTTATTTAAGCTTATTTAACCTTACTTTAGACACAATTTTAGCAGCTTTGGTACTTGAGTTTCCTGACAGACTAGAGTGATAAGTAAGATGCAGAGCACGTGGGTAAGGTATACTTGTCAATCTGATATTAAAAAACTTGGATTATAAAAAACTAAACAATTCAAAAAGCACAGCCATTTGGGACACGGCAGTGCTGTGACTAACAGCCTTAGGCTTACATGCCTCAGTGGACCTTTAGGCCATCATGTTTCACACAGAACACAGAACGATTGTAGATATTTATAATGGTTACCTTTAGTCATCAAGACTATAAACCATTAAATTTGGCTTTGTATATTTTAAGGTAAGGAATTTTATAATCCAATGTACTCCAGGGATGTTCTTAGATATATTAGAAAAATGGTGCCATAATTAAATAACTTGGCAAAAACTGGGCTTAATTTAGATATTATTTACT